TTCACCAAAATACGACACCAATCAAACCAAACACAAGGATTTACGTGGTTTGGCAATTGCCTACGTCCACGGGGAGAGGATGGGGAGATTTCACTATATGGAGGAGAAATACAACGGGTTACAACTCACAAAATTACTCAAATATAACCCTAACCAAAGCTCTCAACTCCCTCACAATATCTTCCTCTCAAAGTGCTCAAAACAATGCTAATTCTCTCCTATTCTCTCCTTCAATTGTTCCATATATATATAAATCCTAAAATCATAAACATACTAGGAATTCTAAACAAAAAGCCAAATCAAATTAGGAATCCTAATAAAAATCCTAAAATCATAAACATACTAGGAATTCTAAACAAAAAGCCAAATCAAATTAGGAATCCTAATAACCTATTACCAAAATAGATTAGGAATCCTAATAACCTCATGTTACCAAAATAGATTAGGAATCCTAATAACCTCATGTTACTAAAATAGATTAGGAATCCTAAACCAAAATAGATTAGGAATCTGCTATCCAACAAGATTTTCTTGAATAGCCTTTAAGTCACTTTTTGCTTTACATACCTGAACACTGATAGAATCAAACTGCTTAGCATTCAACTCCTCAAGATCATGTTTGAGTTTTGTTTAATATTGGACAAATCTACACATCTTACACCCTCTAGTAGAATCAGTTCTTCAAACATTATCCGTAATTAGCAAGAACTTTTCATGACTAGGCCGCATTTTGAAGAATATTAAGGATTTTATCCCCCCACACCTCCCATATTCACATATAGAGACCAGACCAGGGGAGTGATCTGAGACAACTGGTAGAAGGTATTCTACTTGACTAGCCAAATAACTGGAAATCCAAGTATCATTAACTAGCTAGTACCCGATCAATTTTACTCCGTACCCTCCCCTCACCATCTTGGTTATTTGACAAGTAAAGAAATAATCCATAGCCTTCAGAGGGGGGAGTTGAACACTGATCAATACACTTCTTTCAAATGCA